TAGCAGTGGTACACAGTCCAGTCCCATAGCCTGTAGCATCTTGCAGCTTGCTTTTCTGCAGCCTTTATCCTACTCTGCCTGTGCTCATGCTGCTCTCTCCTGCTGGAGATCATTGGGACATGTGCAGATTTCTTCCTCTTGAGCATCTTCTTCTATTTCTTATGGTACTCACATCCCATGAGCTATCTGCCTTTCCATCCATGTGTGGTTCAGATGGGTGACTCCAGGCCCTCTGTCCCCCACTTCAGATCATTTAGCCTCTCGGTTCCTGGAATTTGATTTGAATATCATAAGCGCCTTGAAGAGGCAGTTCTCTCTGGCTCAGAACTGCTTTCTGAGGCTACTTCAGCTTTCTCTGAGTCTGGGAATTTACTTCTATGCAAACTTCATGTCAACTTTTTTTTAATTTAAGCAAGCTGGGTTATTTAAGGCACTCATAATCAAAGAATTCCCAATAAGCTCTGCCTTTCTGCACCAGACATACTTTTTTATGTTTGGTGCTGGAGATTGCTAACCACACAGGTACTACTAAGGGAGGTTCATTGGGTGGGGGTGCTACCATAATCCAGGGATGATGCCTTAATCCACAGGCATATTAAGTTCCTATACCAGGACCTCTTGCGTATAGATGAAAACAAAACCTTATAGAAAAAATGACAAAAATACAACAAGATGCCTCCAAACCAACAAACAATATGAGATGCAAACCACTGATGATCAGAGAGATCAGATTAAAACAATAAAAGGACATTGCATCTGTTATTATGGGAAATTTAGAAAGCCAGTACTGAGATATGAGGACTGGAAATATGTTTGCATTGTTGATCTGATCATAGAATCTAGCAGCAATGTAACATTGCTAAGTCAAAAATGCACACACCCATGAACCTGCAACTCAACAATTCAGCACCTACTTATATAAAGAGGGATTTGGAGTCAGCATGGGGAATGTGTACATTTTAGGGAAATTCTTACGTGTAGGAGACTCGAAATGTGTAAGAAGACTTTCAATGCAGCAGTGTTTGTGGCAATGGGGTCTGAGGACAGCTCTGCCACCATCAGTGGCAGAATGTGCATCAGATTTTGTGATAGCACTTTTCATGCACTCTCTCATCCGCACCCAAACGACTGCTTAAATTCTGGTACATTCTCCTTAGGTTCAGGATGAGGACACTGGGGTTTAGGGTCTCAGCCAGTTGTAGGCCTGGGGTTCTGTGGTCTGGAGAATCTTCATTCTCTGGCCACAGGTGGCTTCGGGCCTGGGCGGTCAGCACCTCGGACAGCTCCAGCCGCAGGGCAAGGGCGGGGCGTCCATGGAGACGTCACCGCGCGCTGAGTCTCCAGGGTGCGCGCTTGCGGCTGCAGCGTCACGTGACCCAGGTAATTGGCACGGCGCGCCGCGCACCCACTCCGCGCAGCCCCCCTGACCTGCAGCCTCGGGACCACGCGGGCGCGCCCACCCGGTGAGCGCGGCGGCCCGCCCCCTCCCGGTCCCTGCGCCACCCCCTCCCCTGCCGTCTGGGGGCCCTGCCCTTTTGCTCCTCTTTCTCCCAGGTCCTGGGGAGCCACTGCCCGCGGTCCTAAGCCGGACCCAGTCTGGGGGAGGGGGAGGAGGGAAGAACGAGAACGTGACCTTGGATCCGCCCTTGGCTGGCCGCGGCTTCCCCAGGGACACCCCCACCCCCTTTTCGCGCGTGTTTGATCCTGCTAGTGCAGTATTTACAATTTAAGGCGTGACTCTCTAACAGTGGGATTTCAGACATCAGCTAGAGGGTCCCCAACTGAAGGTTACAGACTGCTTCTCTCCCAGCTTTCATGGCCTGGGGGAGAGGGGATTGCTGCCCGGCGGCCTCCCAAAGAGAGCCAGACTACCGAACACCCCCACTAAGGTTGGGGAGGGTCCGGCGTTGCGGGCTTGGTAGAATACACAGGCAGCCTCGAAGCCCCAGGACCTCCTGGGAGAAGGGCCCTTATAAGACGGTTTTAATCGCGATCTTTGCTCCCAGATGAGGAAACAGGCCAGACTAGCCCAAGGTCAGGCGTGTGGGAAGTGCTTCAGCACCCTCAAGGAGATGGGGATTAATGGGGAACCAGTAACTCTGAGGCCCCAGGAGGTTACAGTGAACATTAACTGACCCCCAGGGTGACACCCCCAGGGGGGTCCAAGCTGCAGATGCAGCCCCTGCCCACACATCCAGCAGTGCCTTAAAACAGGCCCCATGGCCTTTGTACTTTTTCCACTTCTGGGCTTTAGCCCAGGCCCTTCTTCTCTAAGGAAATTAGCACATCCTGTCCTTGCCCTGATTCTTGGGGACCTGCCTTTAGCCCATCCAGTTATCAGGGTGCAGAACCTGAGTAGGCAGAGGGAATGCAGGCTCAGCTGCTGCCTAGCCCAGAGGTCTTGGGGCAACCCTTCTCCTATGACCTCTGCTAACTTATCCCTACAAGGCAGGCCACCCTCGAGCACCCCAGACAGGGCCCAGTGTGGGGGAAGCTGAGGGGCAGAGGTGTCTACAGTTGTGTTGGGTTGGAGTTACTATCCCCAGAGAGGACAACCCCCCTCCCTCCAGAGCTGCCTTGCATGGGCTGCCACAGGGCACCTTATTCTTGACTCCTTGAACCGTATGGGCAGGACCTAGTGGGGTTGCCTGGGGCTATGGTGTAGATACAGAGTCCCTCAAGGGTCTTGTGTCCTCAGGTCACATAGGGTAGGGGTGGAGGGTGATGGTGGTAGGGTGGTGACTGGCTTGCTTCCCACCTGCCAGGCTGAGTGAAGTCCACAGTATTGTCCAGTGGCTGTCCAGACCGTTCAGTGTTTGCAAAACATAGTGTTCCCACACTGGGCCAGGCTGGATACAGCCAGGCTTTGTTCCTGTCTGGCCTAAAGTGTCCCATTCCCTTGTGGGGGTAGGGCTGGCAGAGGGATCAGCTACAGCCTGTGGAAAGATGGAAAGTGCTCTGCCTCTAAGAGACATCAGGCCGTGGAGTCACACAGAGCCCAGCCACTCAACAGCTCTTTTGCCTCAGTTTCCCTGTTTGTAAAGTGGGACTGCTATCAGTGCGCACAAGTAGGGTGTTGTGAGGGGCTGGTGAGCACAGTGACTACACGAGAGGCAGTGCTCCTGATGTGTTCTCTTCTTTTCATTGGCACCAGGGGTGGTCTCTGTGTCTAGCTTCCTTTGCTGTGTGTAGAATGAGGATGATGAAGCCGCCTGGGGTCTTGTGATGCCTTGGGTCAGGACTTCCTGTATGGCCCTAGACTTGCAGGGCAGGGCAGGAGTTATGACCCCAGCCATTTGACCCTGGAGGCTATGCCCAGCCCTTGGAGAGCTGCCGCTACAGGGCCAAGGCAGCCCTGGATGGCCCACAGTGGGATCTGACCACACTAGATGGTGCACTGGGCACACAGCTGGGTTTGGGGCCAAGCATGTGGAAAGGGGGCTTGTGGCTGCAGTGAGTATATTTTTTGAGTTTTTAATTTTCCTTTGTTCAGACTTGCTGCTGGTTGCCCTGAGGAACCTACCCTTCCTTGATTGAAGAGCTACCCCCTTCCCTTTGGCTCATGTGAGTGTGTAGGGGAGAAATGGGGATGGGGAGAGGCAGCAGGCTGGGGGGGACTGTACCCTGCCCTACAGTGGGGCTTACCCCTTGCAGAGGGTCCAGCCAGTGGGGGACCTGGTGGCTTGTTAGAGCTGATGGCAGGGGTTGGTGTGAGGGGCAGGGGAAGGCTTGTTGGCAGAGCACACCAGGTTCAGTCCTAGGCAGGATACCAGTAGTAACCCAGAACTGTGTTTCCTGGGTCACTGAGCCATGCAAGGAGCTGCAAGCTTCTCCCCCTGCATGGCCCGTGATGGGGTGGTTCTGGGACTGAAACTCGCTCACAGGTGGGGGCTCCCTGGGCAGAAGTTCGTTGGCCAGTATTCATTAATAGCTGTTCATTGTCCAGGTAGTGGCTGGACTGGCAGTGGAAGGACCGCTGTTCACAGTAGCAGGGACTTCAGAGGGCCCTGTCAACCCCCGAGCCTCCATGAATTGTAGGTCCTGGGGTTCTTTAGGAGCGAAGGAGGCCTTTAGACCTTCAGCATCTTATTCTCAACTTCCCACTCTTGTCTTGAACTGTATGGGCAGGACCAAGAAGGGCTGACTGGGATTTTGGCTGTAGGTACTGAGCCCACCACTGGGGTGCACATGGAGGTAGCCCCCACCATTGACAGCCAAAATTTTCTGGGAAAGGCAGATGACATATGGGTGAGAGGAGCTCTGGGTACTGGTTCCCTGGCCTGGGGGGTTTCCAGCCTATATGTACCCCTGGCTTTCAACTGTCCTGGGGGACATTTGTCTGAAGTGTGAGCTCTGGGCAGCCCCAGCAGAGAGCTAGGCTGGGCATGGGGTGACTTTGACCCTGCTCTCCACTATACCTAACCTCAGTGCTCCATATGTGAAGTTGGTTGTTGTTGAGGCCTGTGTCACCAACCTCCTGGTTGTGCCTGGGAGGGAGGGTACTCTAAGCCAGTATTGCCATCAGAGGGGGCACTAGTCACTTTTGATCGCAATGATCAGAGAGCCAGCTGTGCCACAGGCCTCCTGAGATAGTACACTTCCGTCATCCCTCATCTGCTGCACCTTTGTCTCCAGACTCCCGTTTCTCTGCCTTGTTCTGACTACACACAGCTCACCCAGTGCTGAAGGACCCCTGCCCAAGTTCAGGGTGGTGGACTGCATGCCCATCCTTCTTGAGGAGACTGCCTGCATGTGCCCTGGGACCCTTGGAATGGGCTCGGGGTGGGGGGGGGGACCCCATTTGCATACCCCCTGAGGCAAGGCCTAGGCTGCATGTATCTCAAGCTTCTGAGACCAGCATGGAGGGAGCATGGGCTGGGATGAAGGGCTCAGGGAAACTTGGTGTCATGGGGCCTCCCATGAGTCAGTGAACCCATTAGAGCTTGAAGATAGTCACCTTTGTTGTCTCATCATGGCCTAATCCCGGGCTACCCCCTCAGTGGGACTGACAGGTGCTGATGAGTGAATGCACACCTGTCTGAACTCCTGTCTTGGTTCTGTGATTTAGGCCTCTCTTCCATTGCCTGTGTCCAAAATGAGTCAGCTAAGGCGGCTACCATCCCAGTTTGGGGCCCATGCTGTGAGACTCCTGGCTGCTCGGGATATGCCAGTGTGCAGCTGGCGCAGCCAGTCCTCCTGGCCACCGACCACCTTCCCAAGCAGCAGAGGCAGAAGTGGTTCCAGTTATGTGGAAGAGATGTACTTTGCCTGGTTGGAAAACCCACAGAGCGTTCATAAGGTTGGATACTCTTGGGCCCAGGTAGTAGGGTGAGGAGGAGAGAAACAGCTGCTGCTGTGTGATCTTGAGGGGGCTTCTGTGCCTCTCAGGTCCTTAGTTGTCCGTTTGTGGACATGCCTTCATGCCCTCCTGCTGAGAAACCAGTGGGAGGTGCTGTCACTTGAGAGGTACTGAGGGTGCCCTGCTCAGCACACCTAAGACCTGCCCTGCTTCTCTGTTATATCCAGTGATCTCCAGATGGTAAATGTTTATAGATGCATGATCCAATAAAATAAATACCTGTTGGTGGTTAAAAAAAACTCAAGTAGTAGTGTGAGCAGTGAAGTTGCTAAAACACTCCTCAGAGGAAAGCAAGCAGGCACATGGGCCAAAGCCAAAAAGTATGAAAGGTCAGCTCCCAACTCCTAACTAAGTCCCTGGCTGCTTTGTTTTCACTCACCCCAGACCCCACCCCCCAGTTTATTCTTTGTTTTTTGTCTTTCTGAGACTGTCTTTAGGCAAACTTATTGCAAGCGCAACTTGATTTTCCTGTCTTTTACACAAAAGTAGCATGCAACAATCCTGTTTTTCTCCTTGCTTTCTTCACCTGGCAATCTTCTCCCAGATCTTTCCATGTCAGTACATAAGGAACCTCACTGTTCTTTTTTTCCACCTGCATAGTATTCCATTGCATCAATGTGCCATCCCATCCCTAGTGACAGACATCTGGTCCATTTCCAGTCTTGATCATCATATACAGTGCTGCAGTGCATACTCTTGTGCCTTCATCATCTTGCATGTGTACAGCTAGCTGTAGGAAAAGTTTCCCACAGTGGAAGAGTCAGGTCTAAGAGTATCTTTGCATGTAATTTTGATGGGTTTTGCCAAATTGCTTTCCGTGGTGTTACTCAGTCGATTCTCCCACTGTATTGCAATAAGCAGAGGAAAGCACTTTTGTTTTGTTTTGAGGGTACTGGGGATTGAACCCAGGGCTTCATATGTGCTAGGCAAACACCCCACCACAGAGCTCTACCTGCCCCCAGACTCCTGAGGAAAGTGCTTTTACTTGTTCTGGAAAACCCACAGAAGTGCCAAGTGTGTGCATGTCTGATTCTGCTTCTACACAAGAGAGGCAAGCCACCTGTCATCTGCTTTGTTTTCTTTACTACATATTTTAGCTATATTCCATATTCACAATGAACACATCTTATTATTTTTTTAAGACTGCATGATCTTCCAGATTCTAAATGTGTATTTGTTTAGTCACTTTCTTGTTGATAGTCATTTAGGTTGTGTTTTTGCTGTCATTTTTATAAAAAGCCCTGCAGGGAACGTTCTTGTGTGTAGGTTTGGGACACTTGTATAAGTACATCTGTGGATAGGTTATTAGCAGCAGACTTATGGCTCAAAAGATTTGGGCCTTGAATACATGAAGGGTCTACCTGCCACCTTGCTCTCTACAAAGACCTCCTGTAATCCACGGTGTGTGAGGGCATGATTTCCCCAGAGTAGAAGCCCCTGTCACAACTAAAGCCCCTGAGCCACACTCAGACTGTCTTCCCATCAAGCTGAGTCCTGTGGGTGAGGAGCCTGGGCTGGTGGAGAGTGGTCCCCCAAACAGGGCCCTTAGAGCTGTGGATCCTAAGGAACACCATGTGTCTATCCCCTGGTACTCCACCCGGGGCCATCGCCAACTATGCCCAGGCCCTGACCTAGCTGTGTTCTTTCCTTTGCCCTGCTTAGTCCTGGGACATCTTCTTCCGGCAAGCCAGTGAGAAGACCTCTGCAGGCTCTGCTCAGCCACAGCTCCCATCTGTCATCCCCGAGAGCAGACCTGCAGTCTCGAGCCGCACCAAGACCAGCAAGCTGGTGGAGGACCACCTAGCAGTGCAGTCCCTCATCCGGGCCTACCAGGTGAGGTAGCCAAGGCCCAGTCTGGGAGGCCACCCAGATCCTGGGCCTGGCCATGCACTAGGGGAAGGGAATGCCACCTCCCCAGAGAGCCCTTCTCTAAGGCTACAAAATGCCATAGAAAGTCTCCCCAGTCGGTCACGGTGCCATTCAGAGCACCACGAATTTTGTGTGTGCGGATTTGCTAGCTTGTGGTCTGTCTCTAGAATGTTGTCTCTCTGGCACATACTATGCCTTCATTACCCAGAGAAGCACTTAGAATGTGGTCAGTCCTGAAAACGGAGTGTATTGACCCTTGTCCATGTCTGATCTCCTTTGTCCTGTGTATTCCAGCAGGACAGACTGGTACACACAACAGGTACACCATTAGTGTTGGTGCAGTGAATGAGTTCTTCACTAAACAGCTCTCCTCCACCAGCTGCTTATTCTGGAGACTTGGGCTATTCTGTGCTGGGTCCCCATTCTGGGCCCCGTCTTTGTCAGAGTGCCCTGTTGAGGTACCAGGTTCTTAATCTTGACTGAACAGGACTAATTAGAGGACTGCTCTGGTGTTCACACCATGATAAATGTAATCCTGGGGATCTCTGGGAGCTGGTGGCAAAAGCATTTCGTAAGGGAAACTTGACATGCTGAGGGTAATGCACTTCTGCGTCCTGGAGGGTTCTTAGCAGAGACTCTGTGGGAAGGAGCAGCAAGCTCGAACCAGGTCTCTGGAGAAGAGGGCATTAGCAAGTAGAAAGGATGTCCTGCCTGGTTCCCTGTGGGATATAGCTGAATTCCCTGTGCAGCAGCTGGCCCTGGGTGGGAGAGGGAAAGCAAGCAGGGCAGTGCTCTCCCTGCCCTGAGGACCCATTGATGGTTGGCTACCTGCAAGTGAAAAACTAGTACTGGCTGAGCATCCCTAATCCCAGAAATCCAAACCGCTTCCAAATCTGAAACTTTCTGAGCATCAACATGATACCACAAGTGGTAAATTCCACACCTGACCTTTTGTGATGGGTTTCAGCCCAAATTCAGGACCAGTAAAAACATTGCATAAATCACTTTTGATTTATATATATAAGGTGCATATGAAACAGTGTTTAGACTTGGGCTCCATCTCCAAGGTACTTCATTATATATATGCAAATATTCCCAAATCCAAAAGAATCTGAAATTCTTTTTTTTTTTTCTGCTTGAAAAATAATTTATTTTTGTACAGAAATTAGACTGATAGTTATTTCTACTCTTAATCATCACTAATGACATCAGACAATCTATTTAGGTTGGCACTTTTCATATGATTTAGTGTTTTTCTCTCTTCCAGCAATATTGTTATCTAACTCATTTGCTTCATCTGATAGCATTCTTCCAAAACCACGTATTTCTTTTTTTTTCATTTTTCTTTTATTATTCATATGTGCATACAAGGCTTGGTTTATTTCTCCCCCCTGCCCCCACCCCCTCCCTTACCACCCACTCCACCCCCTCCCACTCCCCCCCTCAATACCCAGCAGAAACTATTTTGCCCTTATCTCTAATTTTGTTGTAGAGAGAGTATAAGCAATAATAGGAAGGAACAAGGGGCAAAACCACGTATTTCTTGTATACCAGAGTCAGTAAGGCCATTCTGAGGTCTGATCTTCTAGGATTATAAGGAAGCCTGTGCTAATCTTTTTTATTAACATATTTGACTAATTCCTCATTTTGCAGTACTTTCTGCTCAGTTTCTTTTTTTTTTTTTTTACCATTTATTTATTTATTTATTTTTCATTTTTCTTTTATTATTCATATGTGCATACAAGGCTTGGTTCATTTCTCCCCCCTGCCCCCACCCCCTCCCTTACCACCCACTCCACCCCCTCCCTTTCCCCCTACCCCCTCAATACCCAGCAGAAACTATTTTGCCCTTATCTCTAATTTTGTTGTAGAGAGAGTATAAGCAATAATAGGAAGGAACAAGGGGTTTTGCTGGTTGAGATAAGGATAGCTATACAGGGCATTGACTCACATTGATTTCCTGTGCGTGGGTGTTACCTTCTAGGTTAATTCTTTTTGATCTAACCTTTTCTCTAGTTCCTGGTCCCCTTTTCCTATTGGCCTCAGTTGCTTTAAGGTATCTGCTTTAGTTTCTCTGCATTAAGGGCAACAAATGCTAGCTAGTTTTTTAGGTGTCTTACCTATCCTCACCCCTCCCTTGTGTGCTCTCGCTTTTATCATGTGCTCATAGTCCAATCCACTTGTTGTGTTTGCCCTTGATCTAATGTCCACATATGAGGGAGAACATACGATTTTTGGTCTTTTGGGCCAGGCTAACCTCACTCAGAATGATGTTCTCCAATTCCATCCATTTACCAGCGAATGATAACATTTCGTTCTTCTTCATGGCTGCATAAAATTCCATTGTGTATAGATACCACATTTTCTTAATCCATTCGTCAGTGCTGGGGCATCTTGGCTGTTTCCATAACTTGGCTATTGTGAATAGTGCCGCAATAAACATGGATGTGCAGGTGCCTCTGGAGTAACAGTCTTTTGGGTATATCCCCAAGAGTGGTATTGCTGGATCAAATGGTAGATCGATGTCCAGCTTTTTAAGTAGCCTCCAAATTTTTTTCCAGAGTGGTTGTACTAGTCTACATTCCCACCAACAGTGTAAGAGGGTTCCTTTTTCCCCGCATCCTCGCCAACACCTGTTGTTGGTGGTGTTGCTGATGATGGCTATTCTAACAGGGGTGAGGTGGAATCTTAGTGTGGTTTTAATTTGCATTTCCTTTATTGCTAGAGATGGTGAGCATTTTTTCATGTGTTTTCTGGCCATTTGAATTTCTTCTTTTGAGAAAGTTCTGTTTAGTTCACATGCCCATTTCTTTATTGGTTCATTAGTTTTGGGAGAATTTAGTTTTTTAAGTTCCCTGTATATTCTGGTTATCAGTCCTTTGTCTGATGTATAATTGGCAAATATTTTCTCCCACTCTGTGGGTGTTCTCTTCAGTTTAGAGACCATTTCTTTTGATGAACAGAAGCTTTTTAGTTTTATGAGGTCCCATTTATCTATGCTATCTCTTAGTTGCTGTGCTGCTGGGGTTTCATTGAGAAAGTTCTTACCTATACCTACTAACTCCAGAGTATTTCCTACTCTTTCTTGTATCAACTTAAGAGTTTGGGGTCTGATATTAAGATCCTTGATCCATTTTGAGTTAATCTTGGTATAGGGTGATACACATGGATCTAGTTTCAGTTTTTTGCAGACTGCTAACCAGTTTTCCCAGCAGTTTTTGTTGAAGAGGCTGCTATTTCTCCATCGTATATTTTTAGCTCCTTTGTCAAAGATAAGTTGCTCATAGTTGTGTGGCTTCATATCTGGGTCCTCTATTCTGTTCCACTGGTCTTCATGTCTGTTTTTGTGCCAGTACCATGCTGTTTTTATTGTTATTGCTTTGTAATATAGTTTGAAGTCAGGTATTGTGATACCTCCTGCATTGTTCTTTTGACTGAGTATTGCCTTGGCTATTCGTGGCCTCTTGTGTTTCCATATAAATTTCACAGTAGATTTTTCAATCTCTTTAATGAATGTCATTGGAATTTTGATGGGAATTGCATTAAACATGTAGATTACTTTGGGGAGTATCGACATTTTTACTATGTTGAAGGAATCTAAAATTCTAAGACCTTCTAGTCTTGTGTTTTCTTGGCTGACTGAAAGAAACAGAAAGCAATCTAAGGCTTTGACAGTGAAGAAGAAGGAATGTAAAACTATATTAAACACAGAGAGTAACCCTCCATCCTGCCGCCATGCTGCCTAAGGGCCTTGTCTTCTAACACAGTTCTTCCCTCTTTGTTTTGTAATTAGCCAGGACCTAATACTGGAGTCTCCTGGCAATGTACTCTCTGGGTTTAGGTATCTTTGTTCTATTTGGCTGGTAAAAGTACCTAAGGCAGGGAAGCAGAGCTGAGTGGCTATGGCCCCTTGTGCCTGAGATGGGTAAGCTCCCACCAGAGGGCTGTGGCCCACAGACCAGTAGGAGGTGCAGTTCTGGTTTGACTCACTTGCATGCTATTCTGAAAAACAAAAACCAAAAAAAACAACAACAAATGAACACAATTATGGATCTTTGCAAACATTTAAAAGGTAGAAGTATAACGAAGTGACACCCCCCCATCAAAGCATGACTAATCTTGTTTCCTCTATTTCTCCTCCCCCTGGACCTCCGTGCCCTGCTGGATTATTTTGGGGAAAATCTCAGATATCCCTTTATTTTATTCATGAGCTACCTCAGTATGCAGTTCTAAAGATAAGGGCTCTTTAGAAAAATAGGCCACACAACTACTTGGTAGGCAGAGATTGGGAAGATCACAGTTTGAATCCAGCCCAGGCAAAAAGTTACCAAGACCCCCCCATCTCAATCAACAAGTGTGGTGGCATGAACCTGCGTTCTCAGCTGCAAGGAGGGAGATATAGGTAGGAGGGTAACTGCCACAGGCTCTACCTGAAAAATAAAGCAAAAAAGGGCTGGGGGGCAGAGCTCCAGTGGTGGAGCACTTGTCCAGCACATGTGAGTCCCTGCGTTCAATCCCTAGCACTACAAACACAAAAACAAAGCCAATGAAAACTTGCTTTACAGTGCTGTGATAGCATTGTCACATCTAAGAATAATAGCAGCAATTATTAATAACAGTGGTCCTTACTACCATCAAAATGAGAGTGATATTCATGCTTGCCTCTTGTCTTGGTTTCTTTTCAGTGCTTGTTTGAAGCAAGATTCAAATAAACACGGCATTTGTAGTGGTTGAGGTAGCTGTGAGATCCCTTGTCCTCTGCGGGTTCCTCTCCATTTGCTGTATTCCCTGCTGGTTTTTGTGGAAGAAAGCAGGTGGTTTGTCTTGGAGAGTTTTCCTGTGTCTGGGTTTTGCTGATTGCATTCCCGGTGGCATTGCTTCACCTGTCCCTTTGTCCCATGTGATTTCTGTAAGTGGTAGTGAGATCTAGAGGCGTCATCCATTGTGATTTGGACCCCTCCCCCGCCCTTCCATCAGCTTCCCGGTGGTGGTGATGGGCACTGGAACAGTGAGCAGTCGTGGATAATGACTTTCAAGGTCCCTTCATGCATTAGGAGTTGCAACAGTGCTGACCTTCTCATCCTGTGTATCCTTTGTTTATTGAAATACTTCTGTCAGGGAAAATCCTCTCGTCCACTCTGCTCATCCCGAGGTACACATTGCATAAGAAAGGTGGGACAATGCTTGTCTTTTCCTTGTATTGATTGATTTTCAAAAATATGAGGTGGTTCCTTTGCATCTTTCAGAGGTAACCAATGAAGGTTTTTCTCCTTTTTAAAAGCATGAAATGAGTGCACAAATGTAAACATATTTTATGAGTTTCAGTCTGCTGTGGACCTTATACTGACCAACATACTGTTGCCCAGAATGTACCCATACTCCCAGCCCTGGCAGTGGTCAGCAGCCCTTTGCTGTCTGGAATAACAAGAGGCTTCAAGTCCACCTTGTACATTTCTGCCCAGGCCTGAACCATCCAGGGAACATTGGTTTAAAAGATGGGAAGTGTGTATGTTTTAGAGTTAATACATTACGGATTCATACTGGTGCAGCCACACACTTCAAATGCAGGACTAAGGATTTATCCTTGACCTCATCAATCTTAGGGCACTGTCTCCTTTCAAAGATGTCAAAAATGAATGTATTAGTGATGCCAGTGCAGTGGCTTATTTGATTTTCCCACAGCCCACGTACAACAGTCTTTGAAGAACAATTCTAACGCTGTTACTACTGACTGGAAGTAGAAAAGAGTTTATGCATTTCCCCTGTAGTTCCGTTTGTCTTTAGGGAATATTCCGTTAGCCAGTTGGAATAGTTCTCTGTGTACTTATGGCACTAAATAAATATACTTAGTCATTTGTTTTATTTTACTTTCAAATTTTAAAACTTAACTTAGTTTCCTGAGGTAAAATGTTTATTGTAAACATTAGTAAGTATTCAAAATAAGATACAAAAACTTGGCATCTGTTCCTGCCCTTCTTTTCTATTTTGTCCATTCCTACGGATAATAACTTTTCTTGTTTTATGGTTTTCTTAAAGTATTTATTTGTGTGTATACAGATGCATATATTTAACCATATCTCCTCTTTCTTAGATAATGGGTGATTCACCATACACACTCTCCTAGAATTTGTGTTTTTTCATGTAGGTATCTTGTGGGAATTGCCTCAGAGTAGCAGGTGGGGATTTTCCTCATTCTTTTTAGCAGCTCTGTAGTGCTCTGGATTTTCCTTATCTGTATGCTGGACTCCTGTTGATGGTCATTTTAGAAACTTCTGGAATTTTACATTTACTAATATCACTGCAGTGCATGCCTTAGTGTAGCGGTCTCTTCCTGTTTTTGTCCGCTGTGAGTTGTACTTTTAAACTGAGGTGAGCTCTTGCCACCTGATGGCCGTGGCTGGAGTCTCATAGGCAACAGCATGGTGAGCTGTGTGGAAATTCGAGTATCTGAAGCCAGAGTGAGATACCGGTGCTCTAAGCCTTGCTCAAGGTGAAGTTCTGTGCAGCTGGGACCACCAGCCTGGCCTTGCCCTTTCCCTCATTGCAGATCCGGGGCCACCATGTGGCGCAGCTGGATCCCCTGGGCATTCTGGATGCAGACCTGGACTCCTTTGTACCCTCAGACTTGATCACAACCATTGATAAGTTGGGTGAGAGCTGGGACCCTTCCCTGTTGCCCTGGCAATACAAGAGCAACCTGGGGCCTGGGGCCCCCCGTGCCTCTGGGTTCATGAGATCTTGCTACTGTAGAGAGTTCCCAAGAGGGATGTCTTTCCACCTTCCCTAGCTGGTGCACCATGCCTAGCAAGTATGAGAGACTTACCCAAACCCACCCTCATGGCAGCAGGTGGACGCTGACTCCGTTCTGCCCAGACAGAGGATCTTTGAGCCTCCAGGCTGGGCATGAAGGGAAGGCATAGAATAGGCTGTGGGGGGACCTAAAGTAAAGATGCTCCCTTTGCCACGGGCCTGACATCCCTCTTTCCTCCTCTCTGCTGCCTGGGGCTCCTTCCCCAGCCTTCTATGACCTGCGGGAGGCTGACTTGGATAAGGAGTTTCAGCTGCCCACAACCACCTTCATCGGGGGCACTGAAAACACACTTTCTCTGCGGGAGATCATTCGGCGTCTGGAGGTGAGCCCAGGCAGGTGTGTCTGGTACAGATGGAGCTTTCTGGAGCATGAGTTGAGAGGGAGGGCACCTCCTTCTTTGTTCCAGACTCCATGGCCGTTGTCTCTCCTGACTCCTCATGGAGTCCACACCTGTCCCCCTAGAGCACCTACTGCCAGCACATTGGCTTGGAGTTCATGTTCATTAATGGTGTGGAGCAGTGCCAGTGGATCCGGCAGAAGTTCGAGACCCCTGGAGTAATGCAGTTCTCCAGCGAGGAGAAGCGGACCCTGCTGGCCCGGCTGGTGCGCTCCATGAGGTCAGCGCCACCCTGGATGGACAGCTCACATGGCTTTTGACTAGGAAACTGGATGGTGCCGACAAGGCAAGGCAGGACTAGATTGGCCTCCCCTGCTGGCTGTGGGAGACCCTTAGGCAGAGCATCAGGATCAGGTGCTCAGTTAGTGGCCCAAGTCAGAGATAGCTGAGGAGGGAAGAATAGCAGTAGGTGATACTCAGCAAGGGCAGAAGTGACAGGGTGTAGCTGTGAGAATTTCTGGGCAGAAAGCTGTTGTGGAGTGAGTATAGCAGTGCCTTTTTGTAGGGGTGGGAGGGCTTGCACTGGGTCTGTCTAGGGCTGACCTAGGGGCTTGGAGGCACACCTGCCTCAGCTGATGGGTGCCAAGGAGCCTCCTGAACTGTGAGATGTGGACTAGACTTTGAATTCAGCCAGGTAGAGGTCTTTGGAACTTGATGGGAGAGCCCTTTCCAGGATGGCAGGAGGATAGTAGGCTGGGAATGGTGGAAGATGGCTTATTGGAGAAGTTTGACTGTGAGAAGAGAGGGTGGTATCTGTGAAGGGGTTAAGTCACCGGTCTTTGGTTAGGTTGGGAGGACCGCCAGCCTGCCCTGACCTTGTGCTCCTTGTTAGGTGGGAGTGATGTGTCTGGGGTGGGTTCTGGACTATCCAGGAGGGAGGTGGCGTTGCCGTTCCTTTGTCCCAGGCTCCCAGCTCCTAGCGCTTATGAATAGCCTCCATTATCCCCAGATCTGCCCCTCTCCATCCCTTCCCTTCTCCCCAATCAGATTTGAAGACTTTCTAGCACGGAAGTGGTCCTCGGAGAAGCGGTTTGGTCTGGAGGGCTGTGAGGTCATGATCCCTGCCCTCAAGACCATCATTGACAAGTCCAGTGAGATGGGGATTGAGAACATCATCCTGGGAATGCCACACAGGTCGAGCCACCTTCTCTCCCTCCTCAACGTTGCCCATTTTCCAGGCCCAAGGGAGTCAGGGGGAAGGGAGGAGGTGGAAATCCGGGCATGGTATGCGTGGGGTAGAGGTGGGTGTCCTGGTAGGTTCTCAGAGTCCCTGGGCCTGGCAGCTTTTCACAGAAGGAACGAGATACTTGGCCAAAGTCAGATGGAGTCAGGATGATGAGAGTCTCTGAGATTCCTTTTCCTCTGGCTGTGTTCCACTCTCCTTGGGAGGGGCAAGACTTCAGAAAGGGCTGGGTTGTGCTTCTTAAGGCTCCTGTGCACAGGAGATATGGAGGGGCACATCCCAGGAAAGTGAGAGCAAGTGACACCAGGTTGGCATCCCTTGTAGGGGGGGTCTCTGGAGGTGAGCAGAGCGTTGTTGTCCCAGTTGTAAGCTGATACCATGCTCCCCTTGATCTTGATGGAGAGTTGGAAGGCTTGTGTACCAGAAGTCTATGAGGGAGGAGTCTGTGGGACAAGGCTCAGGCCCTTCCTATCACCCAGGAAGCTACTTGTGGTTGGGCTAGCCCAGGGCCACATTGGCTTAAGGGATTTCTAGATGATGCTTTGTTCGACACAGTCTGTGCTCTGAGGAGCCTGGAAATCCTCACTGTCCGGTCAGAGGTCAGGCAGAGCTGGCCCAGCAGCTGACGTGGCATGGGCAAACATGGCTCCAGGTCTTGGGCTGTTAGAGCAGCAGGAGACAATGGTGCTTGGCAGGAAGGGGCAGCTCAGACACCTGAGTCCTGGTGCTGGGCAGGTGCTCACCCTAGGAGGGGTCTGGGAATGGAGGGACTGTTCTGGCCAGGCTAGGTTTTCATAGTGTGGATGGGGACCTTGGGGCTGGAGGGCTCTGCCCAGTGGGGCAGAGTGATGTTCTTCGTCTCTTGCAGCCCTACAGTCAGGGACAGGCTGATGTGCAGCAGGACTGTGCTTCCTACAGGGCCTTGTGGGACTGCAGGACAGGTTGGGGTTCACTGTGGCCTGGGGTGATGGGTTCTAGAGGGTGAGTTTGGAGTCATCCTGTGTGTCTCCATCATGCTGGTGTCCAACCTGGATTAACTGCCTCTGATAGGAAGTTCACCAGCCCCAGTAATGCCTGGTCTGAGTCCCCCACCCCTTCCCCTTCCTGCCCCAGGATGCTTTGTGTGAGCAGCTCTGAGGTATTAGGTTGAGTCAGGGAAGAAGGTCCCAGAGGATTTAATAGGGGAGTGAGTGGCTCCTCTCCTGTGCTGTGTGGCCCTCTGCCTTTGAGGGCCTTCTAAGTCACCAATGTGTTGGGGTGTCTGTTTAGAGGGAGCTGGCTGGGTGGGACCATTCACCAGCCTGGTAGACTGAGGCAGGAGGAGTGGACTGGGCCTCACCTCGACTCCACCTGGGAGGGTCCCCCACCCCACTTGACTCTAATAGGTCCCAGGTAGACAGGGAGAATGGCAGTGCTGGGCAAGGTGTCGGGTGTGCCTTGGTGCCAGGTGAGAGCCCAGTCCCTCTGGTCCCAGGGGCAGGTTGAATGTGCTGGCGAATGTGATCCGCAAGGACCTGGAGCAGATCTTCTGCCAGTTTGACCCCAAGCTGGAGGCAGCTGATGAGGTAGGTGCCAAGCCCTGGTCCTGGTGTCCCTGAAAGGACCTGGCATTTGGAAGAGGTGCTAGACGAGTCTGGGCCATGAGCTTCCAGGCTGAGACAGACCTTGAGGTGGATGGATATGGAAGAGCATGGAGAGGCTGGGATGCTTGTGTGAGGTCCCTAGGCCTGTGGGAACATGTGCTAACATGTAACAGCTGGGAGGGCCCTGGAGTCAAAGCCTCTCTGATTCTAGCAAGGGAAGTGCAGGGGCTTGCCAGAAGTTCACTGCCTTAACTTGTGTCTCTGTGCTTCTTGCCTACATTCCTGTCACCAGCCTGGGAGGGTCCCTCACTCACTTGTTTGCCCTGGAGATCTGTGGGAAGTCATGGCTTCCTGTGCCCATTGGCCAGCCAAGGACACACTGTCCTCCTCCCCTACCCCTACCCTGCTAGTATGCCACTGTGGACTTAGCCATACCAGGCTCTCAGCACCTACTGCCTTCCCCTTGCCTCTGCCCATACCTAATTCCGTGTCTTGTCTATCTCTCCTTTTGGTGGTTGTCCTGGTGCTCTGGACAGTGAGTCTGTCCCTCATCTGTGTCCCTTTGCCCTCAATATAGTCTCTTCTCTGGCCTTCTTCAGTCTGCTGTGTGTGTGCATGTGTGTCTATTTTCTCCTCCAGGGTGAGGAGGCCAGGGACCTTGTCTCCAAAGCTCCAGCACCCAGCACAGTGCTTGGTTTGTTGAAGTGAGTCACATTAAATGACTGTTCCAAGGACACTTGGCATATAGCGCCAGAGCAGGACCAGGACCTGCATCTCTGGCTCCCAGCCCAGGGTCTTTCTGCACCCTGTTCATTTCACTGAATCACCTTCAATTCCCAGGCCTCAGTTTGCTTCTTCAAAGAGCAGGAACAAAAGCACCTGCCCCAGAGTGGCTGTGAGGATCGAACAGATGGGGTGTGTGTGTGTATGTGTATGTGTGTGTGTGTGTGTGTGTGTGGTGTGTGTGTGTGTGTGTGTGAGAGAGAGAGAGAGAGAGAGAGAGAGAGAGAGAAACTGGAAAGATTAGTTTTTAGATTGAAAAGAATATAAGGGTTTTTTTTAAAGGTAAATTGAAAAGGAAACATGAGCATTGTTTTTTTAAAAAAAGTTCCTGTGGGCTGTTTTTGTGTGTATGCGTATTTGTAGCAAGATGTGTACTTACAGGCACATTCTGTGCAGGCACAAACACAGTTTGTCCATGGCAGCAGCCCAGTGCAACATGGCTTCTTGCTGTTTTCACTTACCAAGTTGTCGTTATTTCATACCAGCATGTGAAGAGCTACCCCATGTTTCTTACAGCTACAGAGTGTCTCCTGTGAGGGCATTTGGCTACTACAATGAACTTCCTCACACGTGTGCTAGTGACTATAGCTGTTAGATGGAGTCTGAGAAGTGCAGTGGCCAGAGCTAAGAAGCTTGGACTAAATGACCCTCCGAGGAGGATGTAGATGTCAGAAAGCATGTACGCCCTACAACCCTGTCCTCGCCTGCTCCATCAAATCTTTCCATCTTTGCCAGTATGAGAGATGCAACAGTGATTTCATTTTAACATATTTCTTTGTTATGAAGTCAACCGAATACTTTTTCACATGGTTTTGAACCATGTGTATTCTTGTAAATTCCCCTTCATAGCCTTTGCTTATTTTTCTATGAAGTTTTTGGGCCTTATTTTTCTGATATGTAGAGACAGCCTGTGTTTGTTGTATATTGTCCCCGGCTTGATCCCTCTAACACTGTGCCTGGCCTTGCTTCCCCAACCTATGAAAAATTTGTTCTGTAGTCAGGCGCTGGTGGCTCACACCTGTCATCCTATAGCTACTCAGGAGGCAGAGACCAGGAGGATCGTGGTTCAAAGCCAGCCTGGGCAAATAGTTTGTGAGACCCTGTCTCAAAAAAAAACTTAACAAAAAAGGGCTGGTGTAGTGGCTCAAGGTGTAGGCCCTGAGTTCAAACCCCAGTACCACAAAAAAAAAAAAAAAGAAAATGAAAATTACTCTGTTTTAGCTGTCTTATCTCTTACGGTTTCCAGGCTTTAGATTTTGTTTCGAAACTAAGCCTTCCGTCTCACAGATTCTTGTCTTGTTTTCCTCCAGTGCTACTGTGGCTTTGATTACTTTGGTGTGGGAGTGAGGTAGAGATGTGGTACTGTTGTTTTCCTTGGAGGCCTAGCAAGTGGGCTGAGCACTCTTGTGAGCCACCCTTTCATTCCCCATGCTCACCACCACTGGGTGACTGTCTGTTGCTGCTTTAATCTTCTCCCACACTGTGGTCAGTCATGGTGATACCGCAGAGTGGCCTTCGATGAGGCAAGCCCCAGGAGGAGTCAGACTTCCCTCCTTGTGCCAGCCTGGATGGGTGAGAGGGGCAGTGTGACCAGGGACAACACAGCTTTCAGAGGGAGCAGAGGCCAGGGAATGTTCCAGCCTAGTGTCATTCCCTCTTGAGTGTCTGCCCCTCTGGCAGAGGAGGGGCTTGGTTCATCATGTCCCACCCTGGCCTTCAGGGCTCTGGGGATGTCAAATACCACCTGGGCATGTACCACGAGAGGATCAACCGCGTCACCAATAGGAACATCACACTGTCTTTGGTGGCCAACCCCTCTCATCTGGAAGCTGTGGACCCTGTGGTGCAGGGGAAGACAAAGGCAGAGCAGTTCTACCGTGGGGACACCCAGGGCAGGAAGGTAAGCTCACCTAGGCCTGGAGGGTGTTATCTGAGGACCTGGGCTCTGAGGATCTGAGTTTTGATGACCTGGGCCCTGAGGGGCTGGACTCTGGAGACCTGGGCCCTGGGTCCACTGTGGTAGAAGGGGCTGGGTGGTTTGCACAGGTTGGGGTACAGGGCCCTGCGACTCTCTTCCCTGACCTTCAGGTCATGTCCATCCTGGTCCATGGGGATGCTGCCTTTGCTGGACAGGGCGTGGTCTACGAGACCTTCCACCTTAGTGACCTGCCTTCTTACACCACCAATGGCACTGTGCACGTCGTGGTCAACAACCAGGTGAGAGTGTGGGCTCCATGCCCAGGCTGTATGCCCATCTCTGGAAATCCAGGCAGCAGGTTGGTGGGAAGAGTGGGCCTGCCACTTCCCAGCATGTGTTCTCAGTCCAGTGCCCTGGTCACTGAAATTGGTAGATACATTATGTGGGCCTGAATATCTGCAGGCTCCACACACTTGGGTTCAACTGACGCTGGATTGAAAATACTTGGGTCAAGTGTGGGGGCTCACACCTGTAATCTCAGCCCTTGGGAGGCAGGGGCAGAGTTCAAGGCCATTTGGGGGCACACGGTGAGACCCTGTCTCTAAAAACCACGGGTCCTGGGGATTTAGCTCACTGGTAGAGTGCCTGCCTAGCATGAGGCCTTGAGTTCAATACCTAGTACTGCAAAGGAAAAAGAAAAAGATTTGGGGGGAGGGGAAGGAAAGCCCTCCCAAGGCTTTTTTTGTACAGGCTTTTCCCTTGTCATTACTGTAAACATTACAGTATAACAACTACTTACATAGCATTGATAATATATTAGGTATTGTAAGTCACCTAGAGATGGCTTAAAGTAGGGGAAAGGTGTACATAAATTCTATGCAAAAGCGACACCATTTTATGTAAGGGCTTTGAGAATCCTTGACTCTTCATATGAGGGGTATTCTGGAACCTGCAGATACCAAGGGACACCTGTGTGCAGCACCTTTTGTAAGGATGAAAGGATGCAACACAGAAGCAAGACGTGTGACTAGACCTGACCTTCAGTGCCACCTGAGCACATTGGTTTTAGATGGCTGCGTCACAGGCCTTTGCTTGAAGGCAGCTATAGTCAATAACAGCTCATCTTATGAGCCTAGAAATCCCTGTTAAGTGCTGTGTGTGCAGTGTCATTTAATCTTCCTTGAATATTCCTGGGAGGCAGGAGTTTAATGAGCCCTTTCTGAAGATGAGGACACAGATTGGGAATTGAAGTGTCTTGCCTGAGGCTGTGCAGTCACTCACTATTGGACCAGGATTTTCCCAGGCCTGTTCCTCACTATCAGTGCAGAGAAGTGACCAGCAGAGAAAAAGCAGGCACAGCCTTCTGAGGGTTGCTGTTGTCCCTGTGGGAGCTGCTGCCATGTCTGGGGGACCATTCACCATCATGACCTCCTGTCTCATGTGTCTTCTGGGTGCTCCCCATGGGCTCTGCCCAGCTCCCGATCCCCCGTTCTCTGACGCCAGCACCATCTACCTAGTTCAAAGTAAGCAGAAGATTGCCAAGTGTGGTAGTCCATATCTGTAGTTCAGATACTCAGGAGGCTGAGGTGGGAAGATCACTTGAGACCACGAGTTCAAGACCAGCCTGGGCAACATAGTGAGACCCTGTCTCAAAAAAGAAAAAAGTAAATGGAGTGGCACTGCTCGCTCTTCCCACCCTGCAGATTGGATTCACCACGGACCCCCGAATGGCTCGTTCCTCTCCGTACCCCACTGATGTGGCCCGAGTGGTCAATGCACCCATCTTCCATGTGAATGCAGATGACCCAGAGGCTGTGATATATGTATGCAGTGTGGCAGCCGAGTGGAGGAACACCTTCAACAAAGATGTCGTCGTGGACTTGGTGGGTCAAGGCAGGGGCAGGCAACAGCCCTGCTGCCTTGGGTAGGCCAGGTGGGTTTGAAGGTGCTGGGGCCAGAGCAAGGGCAGATGGCCCATCCTTGCTGTGCTAAGCTGTCCAGGTCTTCACCTCTTCTTAGGGCTGGGAGTGAGTTTTAGACAGGAGACTTATGCCAGCAAGAGCCATCTGTGCAAAGCCCTGGGACATTTATTCAGTGAAAGGTAACAGTGGGTGTTATCTGGCTCTTCAGAGTGTGCCCAGCCTGGATGCGCTCAGTTTTGCAGTGACTCCACTGAGCACACAGCCTGGGGTGGGTATTGAACCCCTGGCTGTCCTTGCAGGTCTGTTACCGCCGGCGTGGCCACAATGAGATGGATGAGCCTATGTTCACACAGCCGCTCATGTACAAGCAGATACACAGGCAGGTGCCTGTACTGAAGAAGTATGCAGACAAGCTCATTGCTGAGGGCACGGTAACCCTGCAGGAGTTTGAGGTGAGCAAGTGGGCCTCATGGGCTCCAGGACAATGGTATAGGTGTCACCAGTCCAGTGCTGGGCACTGAAGATTTAAAGAAGTAGTAGGTGGTCTTTGTCTCCAGTTATTAAAGGGAACAGAGAAGTAAGGACATGATTACAGCTGGGTAGGATGCAGCAAGTGCTATGATGTGAGGGGAAGCCCAGCTTTAGTCAAGAAAGGAGTCCAAGATGGCCTCCTGTAGGAGGCAGCCCTCAGCTGGGTTCATCCCCTAGTTTATCTATGGATATGTTGGTCCTTTGTCTTCAGTAAACTCTGGGAACAAGGACTGTCCTGGGCCCCTGTTGAGCCCTTTGCTGAGCACATGGCAGGCTCACCAGGCCTACAACACCCCAGGATTACCTTGTGCTCCGAGACTGGGCCTCTGGCCATGAGGTCTCCTACAAGCCAGAAGATGGAGTTCTAGAACTCGGTGAGGGGGATGAGGACTTATGAGTCTGGGCAGTTGGAGCTTCTGACCACCCACAGCATCGTTGTTTCCATCCACCCTTCATCCTGATTCCAGGAAGAAATCGCCAAATATGACAGGATCTGTGAGGAGGCGTATGGCAGGTCAAAGGATAAAAAGATCCTGCATATAAAGCACTGGCTGGACTCGCCCTGGCCAGGTGAGCAAGGGGCATGCAGCCCAGTGAGACCAGTAGGTCATGGACATGACCCTGGAAGACCAGTCCCTGCCTAGCCAGAAGGCTGAGGCTGTGTTCCTGAGACCCCAGGAGTGGACCATTCCAGCAGGTCAATGCCAGTGGAATTGGGGTGGGGCTGCCATCAGTGTGTGTGGTCAGCTTCCCTGGTGGGGCAGGATGGGATCAGCTGTGACCACATGGCCCAGGGGAGAATCCACCCCTGCTGTGACAGTTCCTGAGGGTAAGTTCAGATGCTGGTTGGGGTAAGGAATCTGCTGGCCTCTCAGTCCTGACCAGGAGCATCAACCCTATGCCACCCTATGCAAATAGAATCTCTGTCTCTTCAGGCTTCTTCAACATGGATGGGGAGCCCAAGAGCATGACATGTCCTGCCACGGGCATCCCAGAGGACGTGCTGACCCACATTGGCAACGTGGCCAGCTCTGTGCCCCTGGAGGACTTTAAGATCCACACGGGTGAGGTTGCTATTCAGGTTCTAGCATGGCCGAGGTCCCAGATTGTGCCTCCTGCAGGAGACTGGATGGGACCCCAAGGAAGGCATGGCATGCAGCATGTCCTTGTCCAGCCTCTTGATAGCTGGTTCAGCTCTTGAAGCTTTCTTTGTGTCCAAGACGTGTCCATGAAACCGTCTTCTCAGGGGAGATGTGGGGAGTCGGCATATGTGAGTGTGGATGCCACACTCTGGCGGGGTGCCAGGGACTGGTCTTGTATTGGGCACCTTGGATTTGCCACACACAGTTTCTGGAGGGGCATCCCTGGGCCAGGCAGGGGAGCAGGGAGGCAGGGGCTTCCATGGAGCAAGTGACAGGGCCTGGAATGTAGGCGGGAGGATGTGGACCAGGGTAGGGGGACCTGTGTAGCATCCTCCTGCAGTCTGCCAGGGCTCTGCTTTTGCACTGAGCACTTGCTCCAGAGCCCTGGAGCTTCAGCTGTCCCAAGCCAGTGGCCAGGCTCTTGAGGCCCTCAGGCCTCCTTCCTCCTGCAGGGCTCTCTCGCATCCTACGTGGCCGTGCAGACATGACCAAGAAGCGGACAGTGGACTGGGCTTTGGCAGAGTACATGGCCTTTGGCTCACTGCTGAAGGAGGGCATCCATGTGCGGCTCAGTGGCCAGGATGTGGAGAGGGGTACATTCAGGTGAGGGCAGGGTGGGCTTCGGACCCCAGGTCTTTTGGCATTGGTCTTTTGTTCCCATTGAGTCCATGGGGGATCTCAGAGCTCAGCTGGGTATAGTGTGTCCTGGGGTCAGCATAGGAAACCTAGAGGAGAGCTGGCCCTTCTTCTTTTGTGAACGTTAGGGAGGCCCCTGGTCTGGGTGAGGTATCACAACTAATCCCATTAGCATCTCCAGTCCCAGTTAGGGTCAAGTCAGAGGGCTGCCTGGCCCTTCCCTGACATCTGAGGCAAGTGTGCAGAGCTGACTGCTGATCTAAGCTGGCAATTGACAGCAAGCTGGTGGTCATCTGAGGCCCTCGGGATCCTTTATCTCTTATTTTTTGGTGAGCTGTTGTCAAGCCACCCTCCCTATCTTGCTTGTTGAGGTTTTAGATCCAGATGGGGACTGCCACGTGTCCGTTGTCCCTGTCCCATTTCCCCTGGTTTGGGGTCCCAAATGTTCCAGGTTCTGACTTAGTGCCATAGCACCAAGTTTTGGTGGTGTGGTTTCTAGGAGTGACAAGCCGTTTTTCTTTTGGGTACTCATCTCTGCTGGCCTTGCCTTAGCCTGAGAGCTGGTTGACTACTCGCCCGACCCTGAGCCACACACTAGTCCTTGCCAGCTTGGGTCTCAGTCAGGTGGCTAAGTTCCTGCCTCTTTTTAGGTTGGGGTGGGAAAGACGGTAAAGGGGCCAGCAGGATAGGCAGGGGACTGTGCCCTAGCCATGTGGCCTCCTGGTCTCAGACTCCACCCTGTTTTTGGGAGATTGGGAAAGCACATCATACCAGGTCCCTGTATGGGTAAGGAGCTGAGACCAGAGGTGCAAGACCTATAATCTTGCTCCCAGATCCTCAGTATAGCATGTGGGCAGCCAGTAGGCAGGGAGCAGAGCTGGGAGGCACAAGGGAAGGAACCAGGTTGCTTTCTTGGTGTCACCATCCTGTGGGACCCTGTAGGTTTCCTGGGGCATTCCTGCTTGCCTCTGCTGCCCAGCTGCCCTGCTCTGGAACAGGTGCTGCCCATCTTCCCTCATCCTTTCTCTGGTTTGTCTCTCCCAGCCACCGTCACCATGTTCTCCATGACCAAGAAGTCGACCGGAGGACATGTGTCCCTATGAATCATCTGTGGCCTGATCAGGCCCCCTACACTGTGTGCAACAGCTCCCTCTCAGAGTATGGAGTCCTAGGTGGGTTGGGTGGGCCCCAAGATCCCTAGGGACCAGATTCAGGCTGGAAGGGAGCCAGGGTCTGGGCCTGAGAGGTCTGGAAAGCTGAGACCCTGTGTGTGGAGCAGGTACTGAGATGGCCCTGAGGGATATAGACATGTGGGAGGTGAGATTTGTTCCATCCCTTAGGGATCCCAGTTGATGGGGTCCCTGCTTGCCTTGCAGGGGTCTCTGTAGGCACCAGACCCCCTCTCTAGGTACCAGTCATAGTGGGCCCAGACAGGAGGCCTTTAAGAGTTGCTTGCAGGACACAGTCACTGACTAGCTCTAAGCCTGGTCCTTAGCCTCCATGTTCCTGAGCCTCATCTTGCTTCCTCCACCCTGCATCCCTGTGGTGAGGTCCCCTCCCTGGGCTCTGGTGCCCCTGGGTCAGCTATACACAGTGTCCCTGGACCCACATTAGCTAACATGCTTCCTCCCACACTGCTTCTTCCTGAGTTCAGCCTTTCCTATCTGAGGAGCTGCCTCTGGACCTTCCCCTTCTCAGCAGCTCTGCATATGTTATAGAGTTGTTTTTTGGGGGGGTGGGGTCCTCTTTGCAGATGGTCCCTGTGTTCTCTTCAGGGAACCGTTCAACCTGGCTCATGGACCAGATAAAACTAAACCTGGCCATGTATGATGTAAGAGCTGAGTGTGACATCTTTGGGCACATTCAGTCCTTTGAGACCCAAGGAATCCCTAGGCTCTTCCTGGTCTGTGGGGAGGATGGATGGAGGCAGACAGTTTGACAGGAGCCACTGCGACTTGGTGACGCTGTGCAGAAAGCTCTGTCTTGGTGTCTTCTGCCTAGGGTTTGAGTTAGGCTATGCCATGGCCAGCCCCAATGCCCTGGTCCTCTGGGAGGCTCAGTTTGGTGACTTCCACAACACAGCCCAGTGCATCATCGACCAGTTCATCAGCACCGGCCAGGCCAAATGGGTGCGGCATAACGGCATCGTGCTTCTGCTGCCTCATGGCATGGAAGGCATGGTGAGGGCTGTGTGGGAGCTGGTGGGCTGTGGAGGCCGAGGCATGGTGGAGTGGCCCCTTGGCCCCTGGAGCACGCGGGTCTGCCTTGTCGGCAAGGGGGCACAGGAGGCTAATCTTCTCCTTTATAGCAGGTGGATGGGGCTCATTCTTACTCTGTCAGCCCCTTCCCTTCTTGTGTGTGCAGAGAGGAAATGAGTGTGTACCTCCTGGGGCTGCTGTCAAGATGAATGATTAATGTGTGTATGGTGGGTCCTAGCAGCAGCTGCTGGTGTTCCAGAATGTTCCAGAGAAAGAGTGTCTAAATGTAGTCTTTTTGCACCTTACCACCCTGTACGTTCACCTGTGGACCCCTCTGAGAACATCCTGCCTGTCTTGTCCCATATTTCTGGTTCTTTCCTATGGTCCAGGCTCCAGAGTGAGAGCACTGCCCAAGAAGCCACCCAGACTGCCTGGTCCAGGGTCCCTGCAGGGTCATGATCATCCTGTGGGGCCAGCCTTGGTCATCTCCTGTGTGTTTTCAGGGCCCTGAGCACTCCTCGGCACGGCCCGAGAGGTTCCTGCAGATGAGCAACGACGACTCAGATGCCTACCCAGTGAGTTTGCCTAGTGCCACCAGGTGGGACCATGCTGCTGTGCCACAGGGTCTGGGGTCCAGGGTGCCACCCCCAGCCATCCCTTTGCCCTTACAGGTGTTCACTGAGGACTTTGAGGTAAGCCAGCTCTATGACTGCAACTGGATTGTTGTGAACTGCTCCACACCGGCTAGCTACTTCCATGTGCTGCGCCGGCAGATCCTGCTGCCCTTCCGCAAGCCGGTGAGCCATCCACCTGCCCGCCAGCACTGTCACGGTGCAGGGGTTGAGTGTGGGGCGCTCTGGACAGGTGGGGGCTGCTGGCAGCTGGACATGTGCTTTCCTCCCAGCTGATCGTCTTCACACCCAAATCTCTGCTGAGACACCCGGAGGCCAAGTCCAACTTCGACCAAATGGTGTCTGGTATGTGCCTGTCCTGAGTGTGTTGGGTGGCCGGTACTGGGGAGGTGGTCCATGGGGCCTGGTGGCTCATGGTGTGGTTTCTGTCCCTGAGGCTCCTCTGTCCCCTCCTCTGGGGTGTTGGCCCTGCAGCAGCTCCTAGCCCAGTCCACATCAGCCTCAGGATTGGGAGGTTGGCACCATGGCCAGCTCAGGTCACTTGGAATGAGCTCCAAGGCCCAAGGAATGTGTTGGGGCCACTCTAAGCTACCAGCAAGGGTGGCCTGGTTTTGCCGGGGCTGCTCAGAGGCAGGAGGCTGGTAGAGTGCTGCCTGGTTTGCTGGGCACTATAAGTGTCATTCATTCATTCATTCATTGGGTTTTTCACTCATGAAGCAAACAGACCATTAGTGACCCTGGAACCTGGCATTCCCCTCCAGCAGCTCTCAGCTTCTTCATCCTGGGAGTTGGGGGTCAGGTAAAGCGCCTGAAGGTTCAGGTTTTGAAATTGAGATGTGACTTGGTAGAGAGTTGGGGAGGGGCAGGATGAGGCCCTGAGGTTAACAGCAGAGCTGTCTTGGTAGTAGCAGGAGGGATAGGGCTAGTCAGGTGTGTCTGGGTGTCCCCTCCAGTTTGGGAAGGTGGCTGACGTGGGTAGTTGAAAGCTCCAGCATTGCTACGTGGGATGACCGGCAGCAGTTTCCCCCTGTGCATCATCTGGGAGGCAGTGACATGTGGACACTGAGTTTGACCTGCACGTGGTGTAACCTCAGGAAGGAGAAATGGACAAGGGTTGGAAATGTGGATTCTGCTGCAGGGTGGAGGGAGGAGGAATGCACAGTGACTTCCCCAGACAGCTGCTCGCCTTCGGCTTGGTGGATGGTGGTTAGATGCCACGTACGAGGTGGTCACCACTGGAGGGAGCAGGTCTGGGGCAAATGATAGTACAAGCAGATGTCACCTCCTTCCTTCGGGGACCCTCCCCATCACACCCCAGTACCTAGCAGTTTAAATATTGATACTGCCAGGACTCTGTTCTTGGCTATGTCTCTGTCTCCATCCTTCCTCCATGTGACAACTCAAGGTGTCCTCTGTCCCTTGTTCCATCTTTTGGGTCAGGAGGTGTCCAGTGCAACTACAGCCTAACCCTTGGTTATCTCAGTGATCAGGGAGAGCCTGGGAGCAGTGGGGATGCTCAAGGAACTAATGCCCCCTGGGTGCTGATGGTCCTGAGGTGCCCGGCCTGTCTCTCAGGAACCAGCTTCCTGCGGGTAATTCCAGAAGATGGGGCTGCGGCACGGGCTCCTCAGCAGGTGCGGCGGCTCATCTTCTGCACGGGAAAGGTGTACTACGATCTGGTGAAGGAGCGCGGCAGCCAGGGCCTGGAGGAGCAGGTGGCCATCACGCGCCTGGAGCAGGTGTGCTGAGCCCTGAAGCACTCAGAGTGATGGGCCAGGTCAATTCACCAGCCCCTGGTTCCGGACAGTATTCCAGGCAGGGCAGGGGTGGGGCTGGTGAGGGGTGGGGCAGGCCCCATGGCTCCTGCCTTGTTCTGTGGCCCTGGGCACTCTGCCCTTCCTCAGTTGTGCTCCCTTTGTCCCTGCCTCCCCAGATCTCTCCATTCCCCTTTGACCTGATCAAGCAGGAGGCAGAGAGGTACCCAGGTGCCGAGCTGGTGTGGTGTCAGGAGGAGCACAAGAACATGGGCTACTATGATTACATCAGCCCACGCTTCATGACCATCCTTGGCCACACTCGGCCCATATGGTACAAGGCTGGGGGGTGGGGGAGACACCTCTTCCCTGTCCTGGGCCTGCCTGTGGCTCTTGGGCCTGGTCCATCCTGGCTCTGGCCTGGTCACCCAGACCTGGTCTCTGCCATTCCCTGAGCCGTACTGGAAAAACTGTAGAGTAAACTACCTCTTGTAGTCCCTGCTAGCTCTGTGTTCTCTGTCTGTGGAAAGTCAGGGGCCCATCAGTACTCATTTTATGGGGAATATAAACCTTTTTTTTTTTTTTTTACAGAAACTTTTGTAGGCTCACGTCTCCTTCCTGCCTTCCTTTGGTCTTTGCCTCTTACATAGCCTCTTGGGCTTTGGGCTTCTCCTTATTGCATCAGGATGATGATGGATGAGACCCTGTGCATAGCCAGCCCTCTGAGGTGCATGCCACATAGTAGTGTTCAGTGCTCAATTTTGCCATCCTTTGTCTTGGGAAGGCAGGAGAGGAGTGTGAGAAACCTTGAGAAGCCAAAAGTATGTTTGCCCCCAAATCCTTTGGATTGGAGTGGCATTTGTTGTCCAAGTTCAGTGACATGGAGGGAGCTGTTTCTCCTCCCTGACTTGTGGCTGAGTAGCTGAGTTTGCCCCAATGCAGGTATCTTACTGAGAGTGGGGCCCACACAGGAAGGAAGGTCCCACAGCTCAGGCCAGCCTTCCTTAGATGTGTTCCTACAGTCCTGGGGTGAGTGTCAGGCCAGGCCCAGCCTCCCCTCAGCTCTCTGTCCTTCTCCAGGTATGTTGGCCGTGACCCAGCAGCTGCACCTGCCACTGGAAACAGGAATACTCACTTGGTATCGCTGAGGAAATTTCTGGATACCGCCTTCAATCTCCAGGCCTTTGATGGCAAGACATTCTAGAGTGGGGCAAGTCCCACCTGGGTCTTGTTCTGGGTGTGTGCTGGGAATTTAGGAAGCTAGAGAGGGGGAGCAGTGGAACCTCTGCCCAGGAGAGGGGCTGTTGAGATCCCAGGACAAACTACGGAAGTGATAGAGGCCAAAGAGTAGCACCACTGGTTTCTGTATTATGCCAGTTTAGGCCTTCATCATCTTTCTGAATCTGTTAGGACTGAGGAAACCAGAGGGGTCTGATAGATCAGCTGCCCTGATCTTTCTGGAACTTTTTGTGTGGGTTCTCTGTGGTGTTTGTGACTCACAACAGTCACCAGGAACCCTGTGTCATCAGCCATTCTCATTCCTGCAGACCTGGCTGCCACTCATGTGTCTGTGTTCATTTGTGGATTCAAGGAGATGTTCCCTTTCGAGCTCTTAGAAATAGAGATTTCAGCAATAACAGGCAGGGGAAGCCAAATCACACCTGGTGATTTCCTTGTGCTGTCTTATGGAGCATGACTGTGAGATAGGTCAGCTTCTATGTGAGATGCAGCCACAATTCATGTGTACCAAAGTAGAAAACCAAATAACAAAGACAAAAATAAAATTACTTAAGACAGATTTGCTCTTTTCATGTCTTCTTGTAAAATTGGTGGGGGGATGGGGGGGAGGGTCGGGAGGGGGTGGGTAATGGGGAGAGGCAGGTGTGAACATGCAGGTTGTCATGTCACCTCCTTCATGGGACGGTTCCTCCCAGCACCAGGGCAGCTTTCCAGGTCTTTGGCTTCCCCACTCTTCAGCCTTTTGTTGGTTTTGCTTCCTACTGAGGGACTTTTGCTTTCAACAAATCACTTGTTCCTTTATCCATCCCAGAGCACTTCCTCTTTGTGAGATGCCAGGACCCTGGGGAAAGGTGGCCATCTTCATGCCGGCTCTTCAGACTCAGGAGTCCAGCCAGGGAAATGTGCATATCAGTTTCCTTTTCCTTTTTCTTTTCTTTGTCTTCTCCTTTCCTCCTCTCCCCTTCCCTCTTTTCCCCTCCCCTCTCTTCCCTTTTCTCTGTCCTGGTGCTGGGGATTGAACCTAGGACCTCATGCATGCTAGGCAAGTGCTTTGCCACTAGGCATATTGTCTTTATTTTGTTGTTTTTATTTGTTTCAGTGGTGCTGGGGATTGAATCCAGGGCCCTATGTGTGCTAAGCATGCACTCTACCGCTGAAGTAGCTAGCTCATTCCATTGATTTAGTTAGCAGAGTGAGGATTTATGTTGAGATAAGTGCAGAGGCTCTAGGAATCAGGGAGGCTTCTTGCATGAAGTGTGCTTGAAGGAGTCCTACAGAACTGAGAGAGATGAGCCTCTCTGGAGCAGACCTAGAAATGCTTGAGTTGGTGTGGGGACCGCCTAAAGAAACAGCCAGCCAGAGGTTGGACAGGGATGTCAAGTGCCACCAGTCTCAATGCAGTGCATTGTATTACACTTGGAATCCTATTGCAGGAGAGTTCTAAGTGAATATGAAGTAAAAATAATTACAATTGTTATTTGCAGTGTCCTGGATCCTCTGCGGGTTGCATATGTCAATAAATACTTTCAACCATCACTGTGGTTTTGCATGTTGGGAATATGCCCATTTTATAAAGAGGAAGTGAAGGTTCATGTAAAGTTATTTTCTCAATGTCACTTGCTGAAGGAGTAGTGGTTTGAGACTTGGTGGTTTCTGTCGACATGCTTAGGTTGCTTCCCTTGGGACATCAGCTCTTCACATCGTGCACACTGCTCTCCCTGCACTTAACAACGCCAGAGGGCAGAGATGCTGCCAGGGAGGCACCTGGGCTGGGCAGGGAGCCCCCAGGCTCTGGGTTGGATGGCTGCCATGGCTGTGTGTAATGCCTCTTCCTCACTTCTGTTGCCAGAAGGTTACAAATGAGCTGATGGGGCTCCTTGAGCACTACACTGAGTATTGACTGCATGAGGAAAGGGCTCCAAAGTAACATCTGAGAACTCACTGGGGAGTAAAATAAGCTCAAGGAACAAGCACAGGCTTTAAATGAATTAGTACAACCTGAGAGGCCAGGGAGAACCTTGCTATCATGAAATAATAACAGACCACTTAACCAACTTTTAAAAATAGCAGATCAGATTCTTAGAAAATACCAAATATTGCCAAAACGAAAATCTCAATAGGAAGGCTGAATATCAGAAAGACACAGCTGAAATGCAAAATAAGTTTGGGGTGGGGGTACCCTCTTGGCACCCTTCCCAGCTGTGGGAGCTCTACTCTTTGCTATTTTTCTATCTCAATAAACTCTCCCGCTTTAAAAAAAAAAATAGGAATGAAGGCCAAAGAATTCTACCAAGAGAGTAGAACAAAGACTAAAGAAGAGACATGGAGGACGTATAGATTCCCTGGCAAGAATCCTAGGAGAAACATGATGGATGCTTCTGCAGGTGGACTGGTCTGCCTCTTGACAGTTTTGATGTCAATATCCTCACTGTGGTGTTGCAAGATGGTACCATTGGGGGTGTAGGATTTATTTCCTACAGCTGCATATAAATCCCTTACTGTGTGAAAGTAGTTAAAATGAATTGTTTGTTATTGAGTTGTCACAGTTGCTCATATAAACTACATATGAGTCCTTTATCAGATACATATTTTGCAAATATTGTCAGTCTGTGACTTGTATGTTGATTTTCTCTAAGAAAAATTCATGTTTTCATGAAATGTAATTCATTATTTTTAATAGTATGTGCTTTTCTGTGTCTGTCTTGGTACATTCAGGCTGTTGTAAACAGATGGATTATAAACAAAAAAAGTTTATTCCTCATAGTTCTGGAGTTTGGGAAGTCCAAGATAATGCAATGACAGAGTCAGTGTCCAGTGAGAGTTCACTGTCTTGAAGATGCTGTATTTTGCTGTATCCCAGTGATGTGAAAGGCAAACTAGCCCCCATAGGCCTCTTCTATGAGAGGGAAAAGCCCACTCATGAGGCCTCCATTCTCATGAGCTAATCACCTCCCCAGGGTGATTACCTCCACAGCTCCTAACACCATCCCCTTGGGGGTATTTCCACATATGAATTTCAGGGTATACAAACTTTCAAACCATAATGATGTCCTAACTAAAAATTGGTTTCTAAAACTGATGCCACAAAATTTTTCTATTTTTTCTTCTATATAGTTCATAGTTTTAAGGCACAGAAACATGTTTTGAGTTATTTTGCATATGGAGTGAGGCGTGGGCCAAGATTTAGTACCTCCTATACAATGCTTGATTGATCCTGTACAGTTGTTAAGAAGACTTATATCATTGAATTAACTCGGCACCTTTCTGTATGTACAATTATTGTGATTCCATTACATAGCATCAAAAATGAGAAAATGGCTCCTGTGATAAATTCTCCGCCCGCCTAGCACGCATGAGGCCCTGAGTTCAAACCCCAGTGCCATCAAAAAAAAAAAGAGAAAATGGGCTCAAGACCAGTATAGTGAGAGTATAAGTGAGTTGAAGATTAATAAGTGGAGAGTTATAAATTACAAGGCTTAATGCTGTTAAGAGTCAAATTTCCCTAGATCTACAGATTCTATACAGTCCCCATCTGAATTACATTAAGCCATTTAATAGAAATTGACAGGTTGATTCTAAAATTTATATGTAAATATTTAGATATACCAAACAACTTTGCAAAGGAAAAGCACAGAAGACTTACATTACCTAATTTCGAGATTTAGTATAAAACTGTAATAGTCTGCTGAGATTTTGATTGGCATTATGGTGAATCCACAGATCAATTTCAGGAGAATTGATACCTTCTAGTCCATCAGTATTTTCTAGATTTCCATTTATCTTTAGAAATTCCACTTAGCAGTGTGTTACGGTTTTCAGCATATAGGAATAATATGTGTTTCGCTATATTTATCTAAATATTTCAATATTTAGTCATTGTAAAAATTATTTTTAAGCTTTCAATTTCTAACTGTTAGTATATTAATAGGCAATTGATTTTTATATGTTTGGGACTATGCCTATCAGCTTTAATGGTGTTTTAAAAAATTACATTATCTTGGATTTTCTACAAAGGTAATCATGCCATCTGCAAATCCAGTTTTGTCTTCCTTTGTAATCTTTCTGCATTCTGTTTTCCTCATCTTATTGCACGGGCTAAGACTGCTATAATATGGGAATGCATTTTGGCTTTCATCATTTTTTTCCTTGAGGTGCTGGGGATTGAACCCAGTGTTGCCCATGCTAGGCAAGTGCTCTACCACCAAGCTACCTCCCCGACCCAGTCTTTCATCACTAAGTTAACTAACGTTTTTTTCTTGGGTGTCCTTTATCAGGCTGAACAGAATTTTCTACTCCTGTTTGCTGAGTGCTTCTTTGCATCCTAATAAAGACTAATACTTATTCTTACCTACTGAGATGGGCATCCTGCTTCTCCTTTTTGATCTATCAACAAGCTACAGGACATTGGTAGGCTTTTGAATAGTAAGTGAATTTTGCATTCTTTGAATAAACCCATGTGGTTATGATGTGTTCCTTGTTTTATATGTTGATAGACTTGACTTACTAAAGTTTTGGTTAGGATTTTTGCACCTATGTTTATGAGAGATATGGTTTTGATACATTTTTTTCTTGTAATATCTTTTTGAAGTCTTAAAAATTGTTACATTGTTTAAGATTGACAGTTTTTTTCAATTGTTTTTCTTTCTTTTTCATTTGTTTTTTTAAGACAGAGTCTTCCTATGTAGCCCAGACTGGCCTCAAATTCTCAATCCTCCTGCCTTGGCCTCCCAAGTGCTGGATTACAGGCATACACCACTGAACCCAGCTTTGTCAGCTTTTGATATCACTCAAGAAGTGTTCCATCATCTCCTATTTTCCAGAAGAGATTACATAAACATTATATTAATTCTTTAAATGTTTGGTATAATTAACCAGTGAGCTCACCTAGCCCTAGAGATTTCTTTGTGCAAAGGTTTTAAACCATGAATTCAGTTTCTTTAATAAATTTAGGACTATTTGTGTTATCTGT